ATCCAGCGCAAGGATCTGAACAACTGAAAATCCAGCACTGAAATCCAGCGCAATGGTACGCACTGAAATCCAGAGCAAATAATGATACGCACTGAAATCCAGCGCAATGGTATGTATAATGATCGAATCTGATATGAACTGAAAACCATGAACGGATGCCTGCATGAATATGAACGGCAGCGCTGCAGAGATGAGCGCCATCATCGGATGTACTCCCACTGTCAACTCTCCTTGTAAACACCATCAAGATAGACGACGTCAAGGCACTTCCAGCGTGCGTGCCGCCAAACGCCATTGTCGTTCCACCATTGCGTGTATGCCGATGGCCAGAACTTAGTGAAAATGCGCGTCTGCACGTCATACACCGACGTGAATGAAGGCGTGCCCGCATCATCCTGTCTGGCCGCTTTCGGGGCTGGCGCCAGGGGTTCGCCCGCTCCGCCGGCAGCAGCTGGACGCTTCATGCTTATGATGCCGCGGCCCCGACAGCTCGGGAGTTCGGGAGTTCGGGAGACGTTTGCTCAACATGGGTTGAGCCAAAATGGGTACGGTGGCAGTATGTGACGAACGAACAACACACACCCATACCCATAGGGTGGTCGTTGGGAGGAGGAGGACTGGCTATGGGCATGGGTGCGGGTTGTCGGACCCTGAGGAACGCTCCCCTTCGAGCGAGCGCCCCCATCTCATCTGGCAACACGCACCCACGGTGGCTTCACCACCGTTGTCAGCAACGTCATCAGTTTCATCGTCGTCAGCCTCATGAGCCTCATCATCATCGTCGCGCTGCTCATGACATGCGTCATCAACTACACCATCACCGACGTCATTATAGCACTCGTCGTCGTGTTTGTCATCGCCGTCGCTGTCGTCCTCGCGCTCGTCACTGTGGTCGTTGCACTATTCGTCGCGACCGATTGTGAGATCGATAGTGAGACCGCATGTGAGACCGAGTGTGCGATCGATTGTGAGATCGATCGTGAAACGGAATGTGAGATCGATGGTGGTATCGATAGTGAGATCGATTGAATCAGATCGATAATGAAATCGGTTGTGAGACCGATTGTGACATCGATAGTGAGATCGATAGTGAGATCGATCGAGTGCTATCGATCGTGAGATCGATAGTGGGATCGATCGCGGGATGTTTTGGGTGACGCGTTGGTTCCCCCTCCCCCCTCACCTCCTTATCACCCGAAGGGTGGTCGTATAATATTATAGGTATATATGGTTATGGGGCTATAGGGCTATAGGGCCATAGACCCATAGGGCTATAGGGCTATGGGGCTATGGGGCTACAGGCACATGGAGCTACAGGGCTATAGGGCTCTAGGTCTCTATACAGAGGCTTCGCCATTCTGCGGGTGCACCAGGGGTCCTCGCGAGCAGCGCTGAAGGAAGCAACAAGGAAATAACAGAATCTGGCCCCGTGGGGTCACCTTTTGCCCCGTTGGCCCGTGGCTATGGTGGCGGCCTTAACTCCACTTATGGGGGGCGGGGGCTGTCAGGCTCAGGGGGGCCACCTGGCGTCAAAGCCCAAAACACGTTTCGTCATCATGATCATCGCCATTCGTTTCGTCATCATGATCATCGCCATTTCGTCATCATGATCATCGCCACCGATGGCCTCCAAGATGGCTCCAGATAGCCCAATACGGCTCCAAGAGCGCCTAAGAGAGCCCCATGAGCGCCTCACAAGAGCCAGCTTCGCGAATCCCCACCAGCCCATCCTAAAACAGCCACTCTAGCGAAGTGCAGAAAGTAAGGCGGCAACACGCAAACCACAACATGCATCCGGAACGACTGCGACAACACGCACGCGAGTAAACCCATGTTACAACCATTGTAAGACAATGCACAAAACGCGTCACTTACTCCAGATCCGTAAGACTTTTGGTCTCAAGCCGTTCGAGCGTCTGCCAGCGACGCAGTGGGCCCAGCGCCCGATGGCTAGCCAGAATGAAACCTTGCTCGAGCAATGCGATTCTATGGAGGAGTACGAGGAGTTGACGCGACGGCAGCGGCAGATCATGACGGAGCAAGGCATCGGAACTGTGGAGATTGATTCGCAGGAGATGCGCGCCCCAGGCGGCCTCGTCCTCCCGACGTTCAACCACGAGGACGCCATGGGCACCCAGATGAAGGAGAAGATCGAGAACGTCGGCCCCATCGACATCGTCGATGATGACCCGCCAGTGCCTCAGGCAGCAGCGGCGCAGGCACCTACGCCGTCGACGAGCAGGACGTCGTCAGCATCGGCTCCGCCAGCGTCGGCATTGCCCCGTGAGATCGGCAAGCAGCAGCCGCATAAGGTCGGCCAGCAGGCGCCAGAAGTCCTCCAGGAGCCGCCGCCCGATGTCGGCCAGAAGCCAGCGGGCGGCCAGGAGCGCAGCGCCGACAGCCAGGAGGAGCGCAAGAAGAAAGAGGCGAAGCTGGTCGAGGAAGACGCGGTGGGCAGCCCCGGTGCGCGCAGCATGTCGTTGAAGTTTTCGCACGCGTACCAGAGCTTGTCGGATATGCCGCCCGCGGTGGGGATGGTGTTCAGACAGATCTTGGAGGCTCCTGAGAATTACCAGACGCCGACAGGCACCAGGGAGACTTTCACCGTCACGTACAAGGCGGAGCGCTACTAGGCTGACCGTCACACGCGACGATGCAACAGTGGCATCTGAGACGGGTGCCGCATTTCTCACTTGGGGATTTGAAGGCGACAGGCCTTCTGGGTTAGCAATAGCAAGGCGTGCGCGACAGGTCTTGCTGGGGCGTTCCAGCTCATAGCGGCTGGAAAACAAACCAACGTTTTAGTTGTGCAATCGTTTTATTGTTGCCAGTTGCTCGAGGGACGATGCGGATCAGTATTTTTTCACATGCATCGAGTCTGCTGTCGGCATTGTTTGGTGCGCCGCAAAGGTACGAGTGCGGCCAGGCAAATTAAGGAAACCGTCCCTCCACGATCCCATGGCCCCAAATTGGTTCCCAGCGAAGTCCTCAAGCCACTGGCGCAACCAAGATTGCCAGGCGGCGGCCAAGCGCGCAGCCTGTGGCGCAACCAATGGGAGACCATCCAAGGCACGAAAAAACATGTGGCGCAGCCGACCCTCAAGGCGCAACTCATGGCATAGCCTATGGCATAACCTATGGCATAACCTATAGCACAACCTATGGTACAACCTATAGCCCACTAGCGCTACATCCCTATAGCCTTAAAGCCTTTGAGTCCTATAGCCCTAAGCCGGGATAGGGGACGGCGCAGCCTCTGCATAGATGCGGCACAGGGAAAAGGATGACGAGAACAAGGGATAGGAGATGTTGCGGCTCTGCAGGAAGGAAGGGCGGCTGGACAGGAGGAGGAGGAAGGCGTGAAGAGGAGGGTGAAATGACAATTGTCAGCTCGCTGGCAGTCACGACCCCATGTGACTGAATCCCTCCTCAAGCACGCGAAACTTCTTCACGAAGTTTTCAAACCCAACAAACACATTCTTCTGCAAATTACCATTCCTATGAAGCCTCCGGCCCTCAGTGTGTGAGACGATGCCGACAGCCTGAAGTGGCCGATGTTGCCTGACAGGCCCTGTCGAAAACTTGATGGTGAGCTCAGCGAAATCCTCGCGAGTTGGGACCAACCTCCAAACGCTGAAATGTAAATTGACTGCCCGATTTATCACACGAACTGCCTCACGACTCTCTTGTCGAAAGCCGTCGCTCATCCACACGTAGCGCGGCAATCGCGCCGAGCCTCCAAACCGCAACGCAGCTTTATACTGCACAGAGGACCCGCTGGTGCCTTCAACGAAGGCCAGGTCGCAAATAATCCCACCTGAAAGAGTGAACACTAAGTCAATCAAAGGATCACACGCCCCGGGGCGCGCAACTACACAGTGAGAGGCGTCAATGGGATTGTCTGCGATTTGGATCTGCTTTCGTAGAAGGGTCGACGTGGCTTCAGGCACATCACTGGCCACGAACACCGCGTCGACGCCTGGGCGTGGGCGGCCATGCTCCGGGCTTGGTCCAGTGACCAAGCGTCTGGTCTGTTCAGCCTTTCTTCGCCGCTTGGCCCTCAAACCTAAGATGTGCAATTGCAAGTCATCAGCGTCCTGCCGTTCTCCCTCGGCGACTTCTGGGTCCAAGATATGCCCAGCTGATATTGCAGTCAAGCGATTATTCTTGCGCTTGTTTGCATTGAACCGTACTTCTTTTGTCATGCCATCATCCCAGACTTGGACGGCTCCTGCAACTGCTTTGTCTCGAACCTCGATAAGGTCCAGCTTTTTAGCTCGATCATATCGGGTTGCCTCTTGCAGTGCTCGTCTGTGCTGGTCACTGATTTTTGAAAGACCTCCCTGAAGGCTGCATTGCTGTCGGCCCTTGTGTATTCGAAGCCCATTGGTTTTGCGAGGACATCCGTATAATGACTGCCACACGCCTCGCGCGCGCTCCAGGATATGGTACACGAGCCCATGTGGCACCTCAGCATTCATGGGAAACATGTGCATTATGCGCAACTCTGCGATCTCCATTCCCTCAGAGAGGCATGACCTCCCCGACGTGAATACCAACTGCTGCAAACTGTGCGCGTGCTCAACACCTGATGTTGTCATGCCACAAAACGTTAAATATCTGACCACAAGATCCTTCAATGCAACATTGGATGGTCTCGCATCGGTGCGTAGCTTTTCAATCTTTTTGATCACGTGGACCCATGCGTTGCGATTGGTTTCCCCCCCGGCAACAAGCTCCTGCCCCTCTGGGAAATGATCGGCATAGGCTTGGCTCAGTGGAGCCAAAGGAATGTTGAATGATAGAGATAGCCGTTCAAGACAAGTGTCAACTGCACCCCGCATCTCTGGCTTCTTTGCATTCATGACAGAAAACGTTGATAAGCAGACGTCCCACTCTGGCCATTCAGCCCGCACCACGCTAATTGCCATGACAACCCAAGCATTCATGCGACTGCAAGCCAAATCCAGAGCTCCCCAGGCACCGCGCGAGTCTCCGATTCAATGGGTTTGCCCTTTCAGCACCGCTGTCATTGGCTTTCTCAGCCGACTAAACATCATGAACGTGTAACTTTCAGGAATCTGATCAGCGTGCTTATCCACGAAGAGATGCTTGACTTCCGCGGCCCACGTGTTGATCCTGTCACTTACCTGAGCTATGTCGAACGTCTCCCTGTCAAAGAAGCGCAGGAGGCCCACAGCGCACGCGCCAGCATCTGCCATCATGGCGAGGAGCAGGCACACTTCCATCCCTTCATCACCGGCGATAAACTCGATGAAGGACAATGCGTCTTTCCCTTGGTCATCTGTTCTTGATCTTGCGATCCATATCGCTGTGTGCACCAGTGCTGAAAAGAAAACGACAAACCTCTGAAGTGGCCGCACATTGCTGTTGAATCGATTCAATGCGTGAGACAAATTCTTTATCTGATGCCTACTGTGGTTCCCGGCGTAGTCATGCATGCGGACTTCTTTCATGAATCGTTCTTTCATCACTGTACTGTTGCGGATTCGCTGCATGATCGAAGTGCGCTGCCGCACAACCTTGCCGATGACATCCTTGATGCGTAGGTCCCCGCACATCCAAGGTCGCCTCAATATGCGAGAGGCAGCGCGAGTAGGATCTTTCCCCAAGTAGACAGTGTCATAGAACATCGGGTCTGGCATGTCGAAGAATGCTTTTGAAAGTTCAACGCCTGCCAGCTGCTCAACCTGCTCACAATCAGCATCGAAGCCCAGACTTATGCTGCGGATGTGGTCGTAGAGGTGTTCATTGAATTGCGGCCGTTTATGTTTTTTTGCGAGAACGCCTGGCGGCCCAGAAAATTGCATGCATAATTCTTGAACAATCTTTTTCACGGCGACCACGTGTGCATCAACGGCGTCGGTTCTGCCAGTTATTATCAAAGATAAGTCAGCGTGCCCAAGATACCCCCTGAAGCTCTGACATTCATGGTTCGTGCACCGGTATCGCAACGTGAGTCTATGTGCCCTCGCATCGGAGTGCAGGACGAGAGCTTTCGCCTCTGTGAGTACATATTGCTGGTGATGTTTGCACGCCTCTCCGATGCAATACTCCATCTGTGTGCGCTTGTTGCGAGCAGCCACTCCGTCGATCGTCATGGCCAGCGGCTGGTTGTTCCGTCGAGCGTCAAGAACTGCGCGGAAGGCTTGGAGTGGAGGCGCCGATACATCGTCCAGCAAACAATGGCGCATTTCAGGCATTGTCGACATTCACACAGTTCGGCAGCGTTCACCTTATGCGACGTCAGTGCTTCGTGCCTGCGCAAGTGTGCCCTCAGATAACCAAGTGAGCCAGTCACGGGCCAGCGTGGCCCTTGCTCTGGCTGTTGGGAGCATGCCTTGCAGCTGAGACGGTCCCCTCCCACCATCAACCATGTGCCTAATGCGCCGTCGTGCGAGCAAATGGGGAACGACTCTTTGAGGTCATCACGAGTAGCCTTGGCCAACTCTTGTCGCACTGAGCTGGCTGACATAACGAGCCCAAATGGCTACGAGGTTTGTCATGCTGGTTTTGTTGACGCTGTTGCAAGCTGTTGTTACCCGCGCTGACATATGATTGCATACGTCGGAGAAAAACAAGCTGACGCGTGGCACCATGTTGTGCCACGCCTTCAACACAAGGCACAGCAATGCGCAGCAATGCATGCACTGACATGTATCACGTGCTAATGCGCAACAGCACTGCATGGCATCGAAGGACGCCTGCGCATGGACCCCCAACACATCATTTCAGCGCGTGGAACACTAGGGAAACCACGTGCCTAAACCGCGTTCCGGCCCAAAGTTGGCTCATCATTAAAGAACGCATGGATCCTGGCATCGGGCCGAACCACTGCGACCCAACCAGGGCGCGCGGAGGGGGGGGAAGAGAAGGGGAAGGGCGAGGAGGAAGAGGAGGAAGAAAAAGGGCGAGGAGGAAGAGGAGCCAGACGGCACCCCTCACACAGATCGCGGGGTCTGGCGGAGGGCGCGAATGCCCTGAGGCCGCGGCGTCGCGACGTCGCCGCGGCTGGCGCGGCCTCGCGTGACCAAAGGCACCGGGCCCTGCCATGGACACGTTGGGCCTCCCTCCTGGGTCACGCGGGGCCCTGGACCTCTGATCCCACCCATGCCTGGACAGATCGCGGGGCCTGGCGGGGGGGGCGAAAGCCCTAACGTACTTTCGAAATGCCACGGCGGGGCCGCGGCCGCCTGGGACCCCTTGGACCCTGAAGACCCCGAAATTATGGGAGGCCCTAGGCCCGTTTGATCTCGCACATGTCCGCGCAACCCTCACACAGATCGCGGGGTCTGGCGGAGGGGGCGGAAGCCCTAACGTCGCGGCCGGCACGCGCCCCGCACCGGGCGCCGCCCCGCGGAATTCCAGTGCGCTCCATTCCCCCTATTCCTCCCCGTGGAAGGTCTTGCGGAATCCCACCAGCCCTCTGGGCGTAGGTGGTTTAGGGAATTTCCTCGTTCACCCATCCTTCTCCCCCATCGGGGAATGGTTGACCCCTCCCCTACCCCCCCCCCCTGGACCTGGACGGGGCTCGGGGGGCGCCGGTTGGCAGAGCGCCCAAGATGGCCTCGGCGAGGAAGCCAAACTTATTGATGTTACCAAGGTGTTGGCCCCAGATTGACATCCTGGGGGGGGGCGGCGATAATTCCCCCCCCTTCTCTGATGGATCTCATCCACGATGGCCCCACAAAGCGCCCAGGAGGCCCCAAGAGGTCCCAAGATGGCCCCAAGATGGCCCAAAGAGGCCCCCCAGGAGGCCCCCAAGAGACCCCCAAGAGGCCCCCAAGAGGCCCCCAAGAGGCCCCCAAGAGGCCCCAAGAGGCTCCCCGAGATACGCAAGAGGCCTCAAGGACCGCCAAAGGGCCCCAAAGATGGCCCAAGAGGTTCCCAAGCTCGACAGTGTCATGCTCATCGACCTCATCCTCATCCGCATTGTATTCCTCCTCCCTCCTCCCCATCCCTATCATCTTCATTATCCTCCTCCTCCGCCTCCTCCTCCTTCTCCTCATTGTCCTTCTCCTCCGTCTCGTCCTCCACGTCCTCGCCATCATCCATATATAATTCCTCATCTTCCTCCTCCTCCTCCTCATCCCCCTCCTCATCCTGCCCCCCCTGCTCCTCGTAGTCCTCCTCCTACTCCGACGACGGCGACTCCCCCTACATCCTTCCCCTCTTGGGGCATATGGCGGCTTACCCCGCCATTTGTTAGTATGCATGCTCCCCCGCGTCTCTCATCACCTCCACTCCACTGGGGTTCATGCATGGACGGGCCGGTGGGAATGTGCGAAGCGTTTAGAATTCCTACCGTTCCAAAGTCTTGCGGAGCATAGACAGGGCGTAGCAGGATGAGATGGCCAACGTTAGCATACCTGACATGTTGGGATCGAGATGCGATGACTGTGCGAATGACTGTGATGATGGTGGTTGGTGGTGATGATGGTGACGATGATGGTGGGCGACCAGACATCATGTGTGCACCATTGTACACCGGCCCTGTCGCACCAGCATTGGCGCAGCTCTCGTTCCGCACGCACAAGCAAATTGCATTGGACACGGGCGGAATCAATTAGACGAGAGCCACCGCGGACAAGCTCGACCGAACCCCACTTAAAAACACATGCCAAAAATGCATCGACCTCCCCACTGACCCCCCCCCCCCTGGGTGGGAGGTCAGGGGCGACTCCGACCTCCCTACGGTATGTTTTTCATCATATTTGAAAAGTGGGCGCCTTCCCTAATTTTGACCCCCCCCCTGGCGCGGAGGTCAGGGGCGACCCCGACCTCCCTGCCAGGGGGGGGGGGGTCCAGTGGGGAGGTCACTGCATGTTTTGGGGCCGCACCCCCCCTTCTTTCGAGATGGGGCGCGGGCCTCCTCCTAGGTAGGAGTCGGACCTGCTTGAGGTCCCGCAGACCCCGGGAATCCTGGGCCCCGGGATTGCAATGGAGGCCGCCCGGGAAGCCTGGGTAGCCCCCCGCAATTCGGTCGTCCGAAGCCTTGTGCGGTTAGCACCTCATCTCATTGCCTCGTCATGAGCGTGCGATCATCCGTGAATGCCAGCTGCAGCCAATGCGGACCGCAGAATCATCGTATACATGCGGAGGTTGAAGGCATTCCCCACTGCCGCTGCCATCGCTGAATCGCTCACGCCCTCACGTAGAACGGCGACGTCGCCGAAACCCTGCAACCGGAGCATCGCGTTGAGAGACAGTGCCTTGTTATGCTGCAGAGAGTGCAAGGAGAAAGATCGGCACCGCGACTTCGTGAGGCAAGGACTCCTACGGAATCCAATGTTGTCCTTGGCACCCTCCACGTCGACTATGCATGGGATTGACTCTGGTGGAACTCCCTCTGCAACGCAATTCTCCTTGACTTTCGTGAGCGCAGACTTGATGCGGGCGCTGTTGGTTATCTGCTTGGGCACCGGGTATCGCTTGTAGCTCTCGAGCTTCGGGTGTGGGTCCAAGAAGGCATCGAGGTCAGCACAGGGCATTCTCGCTGGCCACTTGAATGGCGTTCGTTGCGTTGAACCCCGCTTGATCATCACAATCCAGATACGGGCTCTCGCAGCTGGTATACCTGTGAACTTCGTCTGGTCGAGAAGTTTCCAATGCAGGAAGTACGCTGGTTCCCCATCAGCGCCTTTGATCCCCTTCAGCATCTCCAGTATGGCCACAAAGTCTTCTCCATGATACAGGAGGAGACCGCGAACATTCCCCAATATCACAACCGTCGGTCGGTGCTTGGATATGTACATGGCGATGCACTTGATGACAGAGGCCCGTGGGTCATTCATGCCGCCATGCGCTCCAATTGCACTGAAGGGCTCACATGGGAAACCACCTGAGAGCACATGGCATGATGGAGCAAGGGCGACGAAATCACTGTGTCGTACGTCTCCAAAGCTGTACTGGGGTCGGCAGTTCTGCTCTGATAGGCTGCGCACGACCTTGTCAATCTCGCAGGTGAACACGTGCTGATGGCGAGAAGGGCCAATGACTTCGTCCGCGCCGAACTTGTCCGTGCCTAAGCCAGAGCAAATACTGCCGAACAGCACCGCACTCGAGTCGACGTCCATGTATGTGTCCTGGTGAATCAGGCCTGGCCCGATGTCGATGAAGCGTCGAGCTCGCAAGCATAGTTTTCGTCGTTTTGCCTTTGGAGTTGAGTCATGAGATGCTGTCGGGCCCCTGTCGCCTGTGGCGTGCTTTGTGTCACTCGCTGAGCCCACTGGTGTAGCTGGCCGCCGTCGAGCCCCCTGACGTGTCTGTTTACTCGAAGTAGCTCCCCCTGACTTCGCATCGCGGCTGGCGAGTATTGCCAGGCCCCAGTCCTCCATGCCGGGAGGTGTTCTGTGATTGACTGGGGCTGTAGGCGAACAGAGCCAGCAACGGCAGCAGACAATTGCGAATGCGATCGATGGCGTTGCACGCAACAGCACATAGCGGCCCCACAGTCGCCAATGGGCATCATCCATAGGGCACCAACGCAAGAGGCGCGAGGTATAGGACAGAGGCCAAGAGAGGTTGAGCGCGGCCTTGCGGAGCTATCGGGAAGCAACCATGGGGCACCAGCAGGATTCACGAAGACGACCACGTCACGATGGTGACAGTAGTATGCGTGCCTTTCATGGCGATGACGGGCATGCGTATGCATCGGAGGTGAGGGGGTGAGATCGAAGTGGAACAGAGAGCCCCCCACCGGGAAATCGGTTTCGGTTTCGCGTTCGCGTCGCGCGCGCGGGCGAGGCGAAGCTGCGCGGGCGGGCGAGAGGAATTCACCCTGCTGTCGCTAGGGGTCCGCCAACGCAAATATTTCCCCGCCGGCCTTGTCAAGCGGGGCCCGCATTGTCCCGTCGCTGGCTCGCCGTTGTCCCGTCGGTGTCCCGTCGGTGTCTTGTCGTAAGATCGATAGTGAGATCGACTGTGAGACCGATCGTGAGAACGATAGTGAGATCGATAGTGAGATCGATAGTGAGATCGATAGTGAGACCGAATGTGAGATCGATTGTGAGATCGATTGCGATGCCGATTGAGATCGACAGTGAGACCGAATGCGAGATCGATAGTGAGATATATTGTGAGGTCCATAGTTTTATAGATA